ATCTCGCTCTTTGATCTCGCTCTCTCACTTTATACAAAAACGCAAATGTGTGAAAATTGTATATATATATATTTTTTTATTATTTTTTTTTTTATTTTTTTTTCGTTCCCCTCTCTCCCCTCTTCCAGATCTCGCTCGCCACTCTCCCAGATCTCGCTCGCTCGCCTCTCTCACTTTATACAATTGATCTTTTTGTATATGTATACCAAAACAGATTATACAATTGTTTTTGTATATGTATAGCGAATTATACATATATATGTTTGCTATGGAGCGCAATTATGCAAACTTTGATATAGCATACAAATATGAATTTTGTGTTTGCTATATGTGAAAATTGCTCTATCAAGAAACTAGACGCAATGTTTAAATAGTAGCACAAAATATCCTTTTTACAAATAACCATTCCGCACTTATTCATTAGGCCCATTTAAAAAATAATTGTAATATTTATCTTCTACAAAATCTGGCCATAATTCTAATATAGTAGACATTGATTATATATGGAATTCTATATACATTGTTATAACTAAGTTCTTATGATTTAGGCATAATACATAAATATGAATCTTAATTTGACTTCAGCTGACAACTATGACCTTTAACTTTGAATGTGCACAAGTAGACACTTAAACTTGTATAAGATTGAACAAGTAGACACACATGTCATATGTGGCATAATACACGTAGGATGCAAAATTGTCATGTAGGACGAATGTGTCTATTTGTTCAATTTTATACAAGTTTAAGTGTTTACTTGTGCGCACCTAAAGTTAAAGGTCATAGTTGCCAGCTGGAGTCAAGTTTAAGTGTTTATGTTTTTTAAATTTTTGGGTGTGCATAAGTAGACACTTAAACTTGTATAAAATTGAACAAGTAGACACATGTGTTCTACATGGTATAACACGTGTAAGACGCCATATAAGATGTTGCATAGGATGTGAATTGACACATAGGACGTCAAGTAGGACACATATGTCTACTTGTTCAACTCTTTATAAGTTTAAGTGTCTATTTGTGCACATCCAAAATTGGAGGACATAGATGTCAAATGAAGTTAAGTTAAATGACACGTTTATGTATTCTCCCTATATTTTAAATAGTTAACTTATTTAACACATTTTTTCAAACTTTGAATTGAAAGTGTATAATAGAAATATTTTAGGTCAATACTTTATCATGTGTTTAAATTCTCAATTGGAATAGAGTTCTAATCTGAACATCTAAATGAAATTTATTAGTAAGTTAATTAAGTCATAATACTTTACCCCATATATTCGACCATAGCATCTTTTCTTTTTCTTAATTAAGTATATATTTATGGCATCTCTTTTTGTTTCAAGAATAAAATATAATTAAATTCATTTCAAAAATAGAATATAATTAAAGAATGTGACATATTTTATTTTATTTTTTGCAATTGATTTGTCTCGAAACTCATGGATGAGAGCAATGGCACTAGGAGGTTTGTCGATATGTATTTCAACGATGAGATCGAATTAATTTCTAAATGAATTTGTTACGTCGACTTGTGGGAGAGATTATGCGTAATAGAATAATAATAATATCGCGATTGAACTTTTATTTTTACAAGTATTACAAAACCACAATATCACTATGAAAAAAACATGAATTAGCAACTAATAACTTTTGTCGCTAAACAGTAAAAAAAATTTATCGCTAATTCTATTTAACAAAGAATTACTGTCCAAACATCCTAGTAACATGTATGGTTTTTGAGCTAGTTTTGGATATGTCATAGATAATTTTGATTTCAATAAGTTTAATCATCAAATGATCAATAAAAATTTTAAATGATTTTTTATATATAGTAAAATATACATGTATACAACAAATGATCAACAAAGTATACTAATTATTATCCCTAGAGCAATACAAACAAGAAGAAGAAAAAAGAGCTAATTAATTTGTTGTTCTAAAAGCTATAGTTCTTGATGGAATTTTTTTCAAGAGAGACTTGAAACAACAGTAAAGTTGGTAGTTTTTGTATGACCTATATAGGTCATGGATTCTCGAGTCGTTGATGCTTGCATCAACATAACACCTCCGCCCCCCCCCCCCCCTTAGGATGCGGCATTTCCTCTGCGCCAGACTAGCGTGAATGCAGGATGCTTCGTGCATTGGACTAATGAAATCTTCTATTATATCGCGTCTACAAGAAAATGTTCACTCCTATAAGGATTTGGGCATGGAGGATTAGGAACTTCAACAATTTCTTCAAGCATTAAGACAACTTTTTTCATTGTAGGTCTCAATGAAGGATCTTCTTGAATACACCAAATAGCAACCATTATAAATTTTTCTAATTTTTTTCTATCACTCATTGCATCTAAATCATTTTCAATAAGTTCATATATTGTGCCTTCTTGGTAACAATCATAAACCCAGTAAGTCAAAATTGCCTTGTCTTCACCAACTTCATAGTCCACATTTCTCCTACAACAAATGATTTCAAGGAGTAAAACACCAAAGCTATACACATCTACTTTCAATGTGATTGGCATGTTTCGAAACCATTCAGGAGCAACGTATCCTTTTGTCCCTCTTATCGCTGTTTGAGTCTCGGATTGATCCATTCTCAACAACTTTGCTAGTCCAAAATCTGATATCCTTGGCTCAAATTGATCATCAAGAAGTATGTTCTGAGGTTTGATGTCACAATGAATGATTTGTGTGATACACTCGTCGTGCAAATACAATAGCCCTCTTGCTATCCCAAGTGCCACTTGAGTCCTTTGGTTCCATGTCAATTTTACATCATCAAAAAGGAAACTTGCTAATGAACCATTGTTCAAGAACTCATATACAAGCAATCTATGAGGACCTTCATCACAAAATCCGATTAAACGGACTAAATTCTTGTGATGAGTTTGTCCTATCACATTAACTTCAGTCTTGAATTCCTTATCCCTGTCTTGTACTATCCGATCCAATTTCTTGACAGCCACCGCAATAGGATTACCAATATCAACTACACCTTTGTAGACAATCCCAAATGCCCCTCGTCCACGTTCTTCCTTGAACCCTTCCGTGGCTTTTGATAGATCTTTGTAAGAAAAGTACCTTAATGTTTGATCCATAGAACTTCCATTTCGATCAAACGTTAGTCTTTTGTTACGATAAACTAGTAAAAACCCGAGTGAAAGTACTCCAAGAAGTAAACAGTTATCAAAAACAGAACTTCCTAAGAACACAGACACAACAAGTATGATAGTTTCTTGATTCTTGTTTTTAGGCTTTGAAGAGTTAGTATTTTCTCGAAAATTACCTTTCCTTCGTTTGATAAATGCTTTTGAATTCACTCTGTTATCTACTCTGCCATTTGAAAGTGGTAGTTTTTTCTTCCAACAACTATTTTCACGAATAATCGAAACAGCACACATACAATCATTCAAACAAGCATTCTTACATTCCTCTTCATCTAAAGACTGAAGAAGCTCATAATCACTCGTAGGCCAATCGATGTTTGTTATAGTTTCCATCTCAACCTGACTTCCCGCATCTTCTTGATTGTCACCACAATCCTGCACGTAGTCCGGTATGCATCCTTTGTAGTCATCCTCTGGATCAACTAGTGAAAACGCCCGCGGACATTGACAATCTGGTCTTTTATCTATACTTAGTCTACAAATTCTGTTATATCCACAAACACCACTACCTTTCTCTGAAGGCAAACTATAACATATATTATCAGGAACTGACCAAACAGTAGACCATACATCATTTTTCGAGTCTTTTAGACGTTGATACAGAGCAAATACGCCATCAAAATTGAGCGTAGCACGATGATAAAACCGTGCTGATGATCCAATTTCACCTTGTGAAAGAACAAACTCTTGGCTGTTATTCACTAACAGGAAAATATGCCCTGATTCATTGAACTTTAACTCATAATTCGATGCATTCAACTGATCGATGCTTCGAATCAAGAAAAAATTCTCATTTATATACTCACTTGGTAAGTTCATACTAGCAATTCCAATATTCCCATTTTGAAACATCCTAAACAAGAATTTGAAAAATTTGACTTAGATCGACGAGATGAAATCTTGAATCCTTCTCTAAATTCTTGAGTTGGCATGATTGTGTCTTTACTATGATTGAAACTTTGCCATAAACTATCAGAATCTTTGTTTACAAGCACGAAATTACCGGTATCTTTCATAGTACTATACCAATCAAAGGATCAGAAATCGATGCCTCGTCTTGCTGTGGACTAGTAAGGACTAGTCCGCGATCAGCAAGAAGCTCGATTCTTGATCCTTTAGGACATGGATTGTCACCATTTGCATACCATATTATTGTTTTTTTGGGTATTTTGTTGTACCATATTGATACTAGGAATTGATTTTCATTCCCTAGTTGTTGGAATCCAAATGCAAAATCTTCATTTGGAGAAATCCATGGAGATGTTTGATCATCACCAGCAATGAGTGATGATCCAATTTTCACATCATTTTTAGTTTGGGACAATGAAAATTTTGGACTAAAAATCAACAAGTTTAGTAAGAAATGAAAAGGTAATAAACTCACTTTGGACATTTTGTTGTGTTTTGAGATTGCATAAGTAACTACTTTAAATAGAGTTCGTTTGGATTAGCTGATCGTAAATAGTTCATAAGCTTTAAGTGTTGTCAAATAGACACATTCGTTATACATGACGTCCCACGTGACAATTTTATGTCCTGCATGTATTATGTCGCGTAGGACACATATGTCTACTTGTTCAACTTTATACAAGTTTAAGTGTATACTTGTGCATATCTAAAGTTGGAGGGCATAGATGTCAAGTTAAAGGGGATATTTATGTATTATGCCTAATCTTTTTATGAAACGCGTAACTGTTTAATAGCAGTTTCAACACTTCTATCCCGCACACCTAGAAGTGTTTTGATGTTTTAATCAGCTAATTCAAACAAACTCTAAATGTCTAGATATGATAAAAATAATGTTTATAAGCTTATTGACCGATTTATAAGCTTAGTTAAACACATTTTATAGTCTTTTAATGGAATTTTGGTTTGTTATTGAAGTCACAAGTGGAATTCAATAATTGGAAGTCAATACTTTTACACTATTATTAAATGATGATTGGTAGTTTTGAATTTTAATTAAGAACCAAAATCTTGAATGACAACCTAGGAATTTCCAATCTAGAAGGAACTTAATTAACAGAAAAATATCATGGCCATCCACTTGTTTTATTAAGACTATTGTTTAGTAAACGATTCTCTTTTTATTTCTCTAGCAACTTATGAACTTTTAGATCATGGTTTAAAGATTATGAGCAAATTGATAATTTTACGTGAGATAAACGTTAATCGATAATATAATATTTTATCTGTAAAATTAGAAAATATATGAACAAAAATTAAACTCGAGAAATTCGACTTTTATTGACATTTCAAAAGAGTTCGGCAATTGCCTTGAAAAGACATATTATTCAAACTTTTTAGTCAAAAAATTCAGATAGTAGGAAAGAATAGTCAATAGATTTTTTACTGTGGATAGAAACATATAAATTAACTATTTGGTTTCTGAAACACATTGGTCCGACTAATTTGGATTTACACTACATATAGGATATACTTGAAGGAGAAGCGCTCTATATTAAGAATTTCACCCTGAACTCGAGATCTTCAGTAAAGATTGGAGTTGTCTACCCCCCCCCCCCCCCCCCCCCCAAAAAAAAGTTCAAACTTGTTGGCCCACTGGGGTTGAGGCAACTAACCAATGAGAGATTTCTCGGTTACAACAACAACAACAAAAATATACCCCGTGTACCCCACAAGTGGGGTTCGGAATAAGTGAGGTGTATGCAGGCTTAACCCTACCTTGTGATGGTAGATAGACTGTTCCCAGGAGATTTCTCCGTTATTTAAAACAAATGCCCCAAAAACCATTTGTTAATGTCTCAATTACAATTTCTTCACTAGTAAATGAATATGGAAATGTGAAGAGTCGCACTTGGTGACATTTTTGAAGAGTCTGAGCAATACAGATCATTAGTACTATCAAAGAAAATTCAACATAAAAAGAAAGTAATACAACTAGACCACTTGAAAGTACTATACATAGGAGGAAATCGCCCGTAAATGAGGCTTATGATGTTAAATAGTTATGCTAAAATTACATGAACATGGTGGCATTGTCACTTCAACAGATCCTTCAAGCATTTGACAGACCTTCCTCATAGTAGGCCTCGTTAACGGATCCTCCTGAACGCACCAAATACCAACCATCACGAACCTCTCGAGCTGCTTCTTGTCATTCAAGGCCTCGATATCACTTCTCACCAAAGCTTCCAAGTTCCCTTCTTGAAAACAATCAACAACCCAATCCACAAGAATCGCCTCTGGTCCATAGCTTTCCTCATTCTCCAAACATTTCCGACAACTGATGATCTCTAGTAGCAGTATACCAAAGCTGTAAACGTCCACCTTAACTGTGACAGGACTATGTCTGAACCACTCTGGAGCAACATAACCTCTTGTTCCTCTAACATTAGTATCCGTTCGACTCTGGTTGATCATCAACAGTTTAGACAATCCAAAATCTGATATTCGAGCAACGTGATAGTCATCAAGGAGAATGTTCTGAGGCTTTATATCACAATGGATAATCTGTGTACTGCATTCTTCGTGGAGGTATGCAAGTCCCCTTGCAATCCCCATCGCGATACTTGTCCTCTGACTCCAAGTAGGTTTCAGATCACCAAAAATGAAACTTGCAAGAGTGCCATTACTCATATACTCGTAAACCAACAAACGATGAGGTCCCTCGTTACAATATCCAATCAGGCGAACCAAATTCTTGTGATGAGTCTTACTAATCACATTTACTTCAGTCATGAAATCTTTCTCTGCCTCATGAGCAACTCTATCCAGCTTCTTTATAGCGACTACGTTTCTTGAACCGATAGACATTACCCCTTTATAAACAATCCCAAATGCACCCCTGCCTAGCTCTTCCTTGAACTCTTTCGTGGCTACTACAAGATCTTTATACGTAAAACTATGACAGACAGAGTCCGTCACGTGACTTGTAGGGCGAAATGTGTTCATTTTCTTTTTATAAATGTGGAAGAATCCCCAACAGAATACACCAATGAACAGAACATTTACCAATATAGAGCTACCTAAGAGCGAGGACGCCAAAATTGCCCAAATCCGCCAACTCTGCTTTTGATGAGATCCCGGAATTGGAAGGCCAGGACTTGGAGGACTTAGAGGCCTTCGAACACCATCGTTCCTTATTTTCATAAAAGCTTTCGAATTCAGACTGGTGTCTATTCTCCCATTTGACAAGGGCAGTTTCTTTTTCCAGCAACTATTGCTTCTATGAATGGCTACAGCACAAAAACAATCATTCAAACAAGCATTTTGGCAGTCCTGTTCAGTTGAAGGACTAATTTGCTGAAAATCTGATTTCGGCCAATCAGTGTCACGAATCGTGATAAAACTGTATAAATCATCAGGTGAACCCCTCCCAACTTCATCACAGCTTATAGAAAAATCTGGTTTGCAGTCACCATAAGCATCGCTCGGATCAACCAAAGAATATCCTTTAGGACAGTTACAAACTGGTCTGTTGTTTGTATCAAGACTGCATACATTGTTGTAGCCACAAGAACCAGGTCCATTGTCTCCATCAATTTTGATGCATATATTATCCGGTTGAGACCACAGAATATTCCAGCCACTGCTATTGAAAATCCTTGAATGATAATAATGACTAAGAACTCCATCAAAGTTAAGTGTCACACGATGATAATTGTCCGAAGCTGAAGGATTGGATCGCGGAGTAAGAATTTGTGTTTCATTGTTTCGCTTCAATACATACAGCACGCCATTCTCTCCAAACACCAACTTATCCCCAGAATTGATTGCATTTGTTGGATCAGAAGTTTGAGTGTTATAGTACTCATCATCATAATCCTTATTGGAAGGCACACTTTGTGTAACAAGTACCAAATTTCCATTATCAAGCATCCGAAGATAAAATCTACCTGTCAAGACATAATATAATTAAATCATACTCTCAGCTCTAACAGTTGACATCTATGTGTTAAGACATACCAATAACAACCACGCTTCAATTCCAAACAATTTGGAGTTAGCTGTATGAATCCTCACTAACCATGTTTCTCCATATATAGGCATAACACATAAACATATCATTTAACTTGGCTTCAACTGACATCTATGCTCTCTAACTTTGATTGTGCACAAGTAGACACTTAAAACTTGTATAAAACTAAACAAACAGACACATTCGTCCTATCTGACATCCTACATGACAATTGTGTGTCCTACGTAACATCCTCGAAAGCATAGGACCTAAAGAAAAAAACACTACCATGACTAGAACTAGTCAATTATTGATGAATCCTCATAATCTACTAGACTACTACTCTTATTTCTAACTCACCATTAACTTCTTCTTTTGAAAAAAAAAATCCAACAACAAAACGGCTTCCACAACTCCAAAAAAAAGAGAGATTACATCTATCATGTTAGAGACATAACATAATCAAACAACCAAATGTTGGGTTTTGCAAGGTGTGAATGGAAAATAAAAAGAGAAAATGAAAAGTGGAAGAACCAATGAAAGTGGGGGAACCAATTTTGGAGGGAAAATGAAAAATCATTGCAAAAGTGCAAATGAAAGGTCATTTTTACCATATTGGTAGAAGAAAGGAAATTGTTGTCCTTATATTAGGAAACACTTCCTTTAGTTCTTAAAGGGTTAAGAAGAAGGTCGCCCCCTCGCGCCGTCGTCATCGCTCGGCCTCGGCTTCGGATTTGGATTTGGCAAATGAATTGATTGATAATATTTTTGGACAAAATTTATTTAATCAATCTTGTTAAATCATTTCATTTCTCTTATAAATTAATTCATAATGTTAATTAAATAACAGAATTAATTTGGTGCAACTGAATTTATTTGAAATTCACGTGTAACAGTAATCCTTCCAAAAATTTGTTACTTTTCCCAAACG